ACCCTTTCCATTTGGTGCCTTCACCAGTTCACTTCTATAGCTCTTTGAACAGTCTGTTTTCATACCAGCGCGACCATGAAAGAATTGATGGTTGCTGACAAAAAATTTCGTATTCCTTCTGTTCCTTAAACTTCTCCGCGGACCACTTATCTGATGGTCTACTGTCTCTCTGCTTCTGGAGGGACCGGGATCCTCATTGTTGCCGGTATCCTCCCCTTGCGTATCGCTGTTGTTCTGTTGATGGTGATATGGTTCCGGAATGGGTATGTGAATTTCCGTTATAACTTCCGGTTCCCTAATTGTCTTGGGTTTCTCTGTGTGTAACTGCTCTTCTTGCCTATTCCAATATTTCTTTAATTGAGCAATATTCGCCCACCGATCCGGTTTGGCGTGATCGATGGGTCTTATCTTAAAGGGGCCACCTGCTGCTTTAGGCATCTCCACGACTTGCCATATCTCCTGTCCCCAGAGATCGTGGATTTTGTTTCTGCCTAACGGGTGGCTACGCAGTAATACCCTGTCATTCAGTTTGAGTGGCGGATCCTTCGTCTGTATCGGCGGTTCCCTTCGCCGAGATTCATGTTCTAGTCTTTCCTGTACTACCCTGTACATTTCTCTAATTCTTCTCATATGTTCATTCACATATTCCAGTGCGGTGTATGAGCCAGTCATACTCTCCCTTTTTCCTAGGAACAAATCAAGAGGGAGTCGAGCCTCCCGTCCGAACAGCAACATGTATGGCGTATAGCCGGTTGTGGCATGGGGTGTGCAGTTGTATAGATATACCAACTCTGGGAGAAAATCAGGCCAACGTTTTTTCTGTTCAGGTTCTAGCGTACGCAGCAAATCATGCATGCTGCGGTTGAACCGTTCACACTGTCCGTTTCCTTTCGGATTAAATGTGGTTGTTCTAGATTTGTTGATCCCGTAGTGGCTGCACAGTTGGTTAATTACTTCTGACTCGAAAGCCCTTCCTTGGTCAGAGTGTAATTGTCTTGGTATGCCATATCTGATGAACCAATGTTCTATTAAGACATTTGCCACTGTTTTGGCAGTCTGATCTCGCGTGGGCACCGCCACCGTCCATTTGGTGAATACATCAGTCATTACCAACACATGTTCCGTCCCATCCGATGATTGCTCCAACGACGTAAAGTCCATAGCCACAATCTCTAGTGGTTTTGTCGCTAGTAGGTGTCCTGATGGCTGTCTCATTTTGACAACTGGCATTTTCGCATGCTGACACCTCACACAAGCCTCACAATGGCGTTTGACCTCCATTTCCATATTGGGCCAGTAACACCTCCGTCGTAATATTTTGTGCGTCCTGTCCTGACCCTGGTGTCCTGCCCTGTCATGTGCCAACCTTAGCACTTCTCCTCGTAACTGTCCAGGCACCACCACCTGGTGTATTGTCCCATCAATTTGGTCATGAATTCTCCGCATGAGAACACCATCCTCTATACTGAGACGGTCCCACTGACTCAGTATTTTCTTTGTTTCTCGACCAAATTGTTCTCTTTCCCTTCTTCCTGGGAATTTTTGTTCCTGGACGTATTTCAATAGCGGTTGTAAGCCACTATCCGTTCTCTGGGCATCTCTTATCTTTTTGTGATTAAGGCAATTAAAATCACTACTGTCCATATGTTCGGGTTCCGTGGATATGTGCTCCACCCCGGTCTGCCCGTTCTGCATCACTTGTACCCCATGAGGGATATCTGTTGACGCTCTGACCTCACATATTCCTGTCAGCGTTTCTTCCTCATCGCCCGGTCTCTCGTAAGGATTCCTTGATAAGGCGTCCGCATTGCCATTGGACCGCCCCGGGCGATGTTTTCTCTCTAGGTCAACGAGTGCCAATTCTGCTGCCCATCGCTGTTCGATGGATCCCAGCCTTGCTGTAATTTGAAGTTCTTTTTCAATATCGGATAATTTCTCTTCAAGTCTTGTTTGAGACTCTTTCATTCCTTCTAGTTTGCCAACCCTGTTCTGTTGTCTAATATTTTTATTTACTTCTTCCGATAACAGACACTTTAAAGATGAACATTTCTCCTGTGCTTTTGATTTGCATGAACTTTTCCTATCCAGTTTCCTGGTTAACATTGAGATCTCATTCTTAAGTCTACCAATTCCCTTCTTATCATCATTTTTCTCTACCAACAAATTGTTCACTTGAAACTTTTCGACATCCCAGTTCATTTCACAGTTCATTTTTTTCATTAGTTGTGTTTTACCTTTCTTTTTCTCCTTACTGTGTTTCTGTGTCATTTTGTTTACTAAGTCATTACCTCGCCGCTCTGTAGCCTTGACCTGCCTTACAGAGGGCGATCGTTTCACCGGACAGTGTTGTGCCATATGTCCGGGTTGTGAGCGGGACAGGCAAATTGGTCGACCATCGGCCGTCCATTGGAGTGATGGAGCGGCAGGTCGCGGCTGTCCAACCTGTCTCTGTTTTGTCCCGTTTTTGCCCTGATTCTCAGCTGTTGACCTGCTTTCTAACCTCTCCAATCGTTGGTCAACCTTGACTAGGTGGGCCAACAGTTGAGCCATCATGGTCTCCATCGTGTCGGCCCCTGTGGGTGGGGATTGTCTCTGTTCAGGCACAGAGACTTTGTCCACCGAACGGTTCGATTGGTCCTCATCCTCGGACCTGCGGATCGCTGAGTTCCTGACCTGAAGGAAGGTCAACTGCGGGTCTTTGTGGACCTCCTCTTTCAACTCTCTTCTTAGGATCGGGGTTGCTAGCCCCTCGATGAACTGGTCCCTCAGTAGGCGTACATCAATGTCCGGTATTTTGCCCTTTACCGAATCAAAGGCCCTGTTCATCCGATGTGAGTACTCCATCACACTCTCCGCCATTCTCTGCCTTAAGCCTACGAACCCTGATAGCAGTTGCGATCCCGACCGTCTCTCCCCAAAGGTCTCCATAATCAGATCCAGCACCTTATCTGGATCTGATTGGACGGTCCTATCGTGGCACTTAACCTCTGCCCTAACCGTTTCACCTATACTACCCATCAGCAGTCTTAATCTTTCCTCTGGTGACATGCCTCTCGAGGCCCAGGCCGCTTTGACCTCTTCGCTGAACCTGTTGGTTAAAGTGGGATCTCCGTCCCCGTAAAATTTGTTAATATGGGACTCTCTGGGTAGGACCACTATATGGGTCTGCTTCTCGTCCAGAGTAGACATTTTCTTCCTTAAGTACTAAAAAAAAGAGTTCTTTCTTACCGTGTGTGTATGAAAAAATTTTTCCTCGATTTTCACAGTTCCTGAATGTCCGAATTCACATACACACAAAACACAGTTATGCACAAGGTTGACTATGGGTGCCTTAAACGGCAAGTCTAGTTGAATTCATCCTGCTCGACGACGCCAAATGTGACCTAGGCTAGTTGCATCTTTCCTGTTCGCAACGCCAAATGTGACCTTCCCCGAGTCTATCATGCCCGACAACGCCAATTGTAACGAGTTGAACCACTCATGCTACACAACATCGACTACAGTAGAAAGACTCGAAGATGCAGGTTCGCTATTGATCCTTTTATTACATGAATCAAGAAATGCTTCAATATAACACAATGAATCAACAGAAATGTTTCACAATAATAGTCTGAATCAACTGACCCCCTAACAGTCCTCACTAGGCTTCATATAACTGAATCCACATGTCTAGTGTCCTTCTTAACACAATATAACCAACTTGAGTATGTCACACAGACTGACTGATCTAAAGCGAGCGATGAAGATGGAAGAGAGCTCGCAAACGGGAAGAGAAGAGCGAGAGTTCTGCCGTCCCCTCCTATTTATGCCTTGTATCCGTACTCGTCTCCGTACTTGTATTTCTCCGTAATCGATACTTGTACTCGATCTCCGACCACCAGTTGCGTAGTTCAAACGTACAGACCGTAAAATAACATCTGCGTCCTATCCATCAAAGTTGACAGGCCGTCTGAATACCGTTTCCCAAAATAGCACGCGTAGCTTTGAGGTTGTTATCAGCCCGACCCAATAAGCCACCTGTTATCGGTTGCATCAGACCAACACCGCGTCTCGGCCTCTCGTTCGTTATCATTTGTAACTGGTAGTGAGGCCTACCCCAGTTACATATATATATATATATATATATATATATATATATATATATATATATATATATATATACCGAGGGGTCTATGGGGGGGTTATGACCCCCCTAACCCCCCCTGCCTACGCCACTGTATGAAATATACGGGGACAATAATGGCAGAAATTAAGAAAAGGAAGACAGCCATGGTTAGGTGAGTAGTGTCACAGAGGGGTACAAAAGGGTTAAAGTGGTGTTTAGCCAAAACCATATAAGAAAAAGGAAAATGAGGATGGATTGGACACACCCTGTGTAAACCAACTAGCAACATCACAAGGCAGTCTCTGGATTGGAATCACCAAGGAAAGAAGAAAGTAGGTAGGCCAAAAACAAACTTGGAACAAGTCAGCTGTCAGTGAAGCAGAAACGGTCAGAATGTTATGGACCCAGCTTAGAGGAATCACCAAGAACAAAGTATGACAGAGAGGTGTGGTTGCATCCCTATGCTCCACAAAGGGTCCACAGGAATGATGCTGGTCAAAATCACAAAAGAAAAGCTAGATGATAGAGGGAAAGACATAGGGCAACTAGGAGTCCAGATATGGACAAAAAAAACTGCAGACGACTGAGTAGAAGGTCGGGGAGCAGGCTAAAGCCCTCCATGGGCAGTAAAATCAAAGGGATGGATGAATACATTAAGAATATTAATTACTGTATTTGCTGTTCAAAATACTCAACAACTTATAAAATTACTATTTTCAACCTCAGAATTAGTAAATGTCATTTGGAAGACTATTTCATAATGTGTTATGTGATTTCATGACCCTTAGGAGAACTAACAATAGGACCAAAAGTTATAGACAGAAGGGGTAATTTTAACTCAACTAAAACAAGAAGTAAACTATGCTATGCAAGAAATAACAGCTAGTCATCTTACCTAGTTTATCATCCTGGGAAGAGGTTTGTGAAACATAAGAAGACTCACTTTCAGTGGAAAATTTACCTACAAGGAAACATTCAAAACATTACCAGAGCTGTAATATATTTCAAGGCTACAATGAATTAAATAGCTGTTTTTATTTAAATTCATTTTATTATTAATCTGCTAAAAATCAATTCTTATGATGTCTGATCAAACAACTTTGTAATTCAATATGAATGAAACTAAAAACTGATGAACTAATATTGGTTTTATAAGCTGTATATAATGAGTAGATGACTACATTATAGACAGTAGAAAAAATAATATAGTACAATAAAAAAAATTATTAGAATAAAGTTTTAATTAATCATTAAATTGATGATTGTAATAAAGCTATGATTATAATACTTGATCAGACAAAATATAAAGATTAGAATGAAAATAATAAAAATGATAATAGGATGATGATTAAGCAATTATTTGAGAGAGAAAATTTTTTATTAGAATAGAGCTTAGGATTAAGTTATAATATAATTATAAGATTAGAAAAATGTTGAGAAAAAAGTAATGAGAAAAAAGTAATGATGAGAACAAAGTAATGAGAATAAAGTAATAAAAAATGTATGCCAACCTTGTGAGCCCCCATCAAAGGAGAGGAAATAAGCATCCTTGTGAGGCCCACATTTGACCGTAATGTCAGCAGTGGTTGATGAGGACCTACTGCCACTCAGGCTGGTTGTGGCGGTCACCTCAGCATCTCCGCACTCAAGGTGTCGGGACAAGCTGTCAGTGGATAAGTTCTGTTCCTGCTGGATGAGGTCAAAGGTTAAAAAATGTAATAAAATTGTATAAGATTGTCTAAATTACATTTAGAAGTCAATTTTTGTTTTAAAATTGAAAATGAGTTCTGGAACTGTAAAGAAGTTGGTGGAGAAAGACATAGCAAATCCTCATTAATTGAAATTTGTACTTAAAAAAACATTCTTTATTAAATCTACTTTATCTGATATCTGGTTCACTATTTTTTTAATTAATTAATTTAAAAGTAAAAGTAAGAACACCAGAGAAGGGTAACTCACACAAAAAAACATTAAAAGAAATATTGCACAAACCTCTGCTTTATATAAACAATAAAAAAATGAAAGCATATACATCACATTTTTATTGGAGTGCTATAAATAAAACCCTACCTGTGAATTAGTGACACAAGGTGGTGTAAACAATGGCTCGTTGCCAGGAAAATCTAGCATGTCACTAGAGCACATCATCTCCCTTTCTGATGAGGAGACGTCCATGGAGGTACGGCTTCCTGTTCCGGAAACTTCTGATTCACAGGGTCCAGAGTACAGGTCTTCATTCTATGACATCAAATTTTAATTAACAACTAAGTCACACAAGAATTTCAGTTCAGTAAAATATTTGTTTATATTACTGAATATTAGTTCTTTAAAATAAACTAGCAGGGCGATAGAGAAACACAGTGTTGCATAAATGATTCTCTCTTTTGATTTCGCAGTTGGGTCAGGGTAAAATAGCTTTAATTTGCCCTGCCTGAATTCTAAAAATGGTTATATTAAATAAGGAATTTAAAATCAATCTGTAGATTGAATGTGGTGTTGGCACTGAAGTCCGAACTTATAAATTACATTGTATGATAGAAATTATACATAACCCTATGAGGGATTAGCCTATTTTAAAGCACCCATTGAGGCATTAGCTCACTTATAAGCACTCTTAAAGGGATCAGCCTACAGCACTAATTGAGGCAATAGCTTACTTTTAGGACCCGTAGAGAGAGAGGGCTACTTTAAAGTAAACAAATAAATTGTAAAAACACCCAAACTTTTCTACCAATTAAACCTGTGTCTGTACAGAAGAATGAATGTACCTGTAAAAATGAGTCTCTCAGAGCCCCAAAGGCTGTGTAGCTTCCATTGAAGGAATGTGGTAACAGAACCTGTTGTCCTGGAGGTTGGGTGTTATGTGGACCTGGGAAACCTGGTGGAAACGCAAACAATTTCTTTAAAAATATGAATTTTTTTTATGGTACAAAATAAATGTCAGCTGAAATAATGTATGAACAATCATGATTGATAACACACATGGGGGAGAGTGAAGGCTGGCAGTTACTATGGTGATTTACTTCTATCTAATTCTTCATCTGCATTCTTAATTTTAGTGTCAAGTTGTTATGCGCCATATAGGCAGTCGACTTGATTTCAGTCTGCTTCAAACTCGAGACTTTTTGGTTTCACAACCATGAGCTTTACCGACTAGACCATGCCTTCTATCTTTGAACAAAAGAAATTTTCTTTATCAGGAATAGCCTGGCATTTCTACATTGTCAACTTTAAGCTCAAGACTTGTTTTTTTAAATTACTATGGCTTCCAAATAGTTTGGCAGCCTTCATTAAAGTAGTTTGTGATGCAATGAGTAATTATCATTGCTCAGACAAGTTGCACAGGAAATGCAAGCAAAATATGTGATGAACCTTATTTAAATATGTCACTCAATAAAAAAGTTTATTGAATAAACAACTGCTTCCTTGTAGTTTGTTCTTGGATAAACAAAGGTTATAAAAGCAAATCCAAAAAGAAATGAGGCTGAAATGGCCTGTATGGCACATAAAAAGTTGACATGTAATACTTGATTGTGTTGGAGGAAATCCCTTCTGATATTACAATTTAGAATGAAGGAGATGATTTTTCTTGGATGCTATGGTTACTATGAAGAATTGTCCATGTTCAAAATTATAGCTAAATTTAGCTGATCAAATCTAATTTAAAAAGTAGCAATAAAAAGAAAATAATTTATTAAGACATTATTTTGACTGCATGTATAATTGTATAATGTATATGAAGTATTCTATGCAAAAGGGTGAATTTAATGAATACAAGAAAAGAAATATAAAAATATATAATAATAAGCTTTTAAATGCACAAAAAAAAATTAAAACTTGTTTTCTTTAATTAAGGTATTGGTAGCAAACCAATGATTAGATGTCTAATTAGGTTAAATATGTAATATCTTGTGCTGTGAATGGAAACTGAATGAAATAGTTGCATTAATACAAGTAGGTTAAAAGTGAGTTACAAGATTAACCACAAACCCATAATGGACAATGTAAACAAAATAAAAGTTTATAAAAACAATTGAATCACTGGTGAAAAAATATTTGCATGTTAATACTAAAACCAAATAAAGTTATAAAATCTAAAAAGTAAAAAAGGAATTATCAAATAAAAGATAATTTGGTTTTGGTTTGATGAATGAAGTGGCTTCAAGAAATAACTTCATATTTTAAAATGGTACAAAGGAATTTTAACAGTCTGAATATGAGGAAAAATCTTTTTAAAATTATATGAACTGCAATTATCTTCATTATACAAGTAAGTATGACTTAAATGTCCAACCAGTTTAGGGGTGGAAGTGGAAGGATGCCGAAAGTTAACCTTATTAACTGACATCTGGCATTAGCCCAAGTAGGCAGAGAGAGGCTGGACAATGCGCTGGACATGTGTATTCATCAAATTTACATGCCATAGTCAATCATTGCTAGGAGAGTTAGGACTGACTGGATGTTGTGTTGGATAAACCAAAAATAAATGCAATGTCCACAGTTATCAGCTATACTTCATCTACTTCAGTGACCTCTCTAAAATTATTTATCTAGCAAAAATAACTATTAGTGGACCATTCCTTGCACATTAAACGTGCATACATACAGTTTGATGTGCATACAAATTAAGGACTATAAACATTAGTGTAATATATGCCTTTGTAACACTAAATGTTTATGACATAAATGTTTCACAAAAAATTAATGTTAATATATCCCTTGCTGCCCTTCATACAAAACATGAACACATTACTAGAATTAACTGCTAGGCTTTTATCAGTGAAACAAAAAGTTCATGTGTAATAAATATAACAAAGAGATTATGTTTACATAACAAAGTGATTGTGTGTTTAATTCATATTTAAACTGTAAATTAAAAATGTAAGAAAACAAACAGTTAAAAAGTGAGACTTACCAGGCGCTAATGAATCTGCTAGACTGAAAGCACAAGATCCTTGTAGGATGACCCCCACAGAACTCTGCAGGTTGCCATCAAACTGCACAATAAAATCCTCATCAAAGAAATAGTCATTGAAGGAGCTGTCGTCCTGGGAACCCCTTTGGTCCTGGCTGCGGTCAAAGCTGTCGCTGTTATCCATACTGGTCACAGAATTTAAGTCCTTGCGCACAAATTTGTTGTCCGAATAGCCGTTGTAAGCCCCAGCGTCTCTGGCTGGTGCTGGGGCTCTCCAGTGCCGTGGTGATGATGTTGAAGATTCAGACTCCTCCATCCGTACTGCGGAGCTGGGTTTGGATGGGTAACGAGGTTCATCCGCGGCATTGTGGATATCATCAGTGTTTTGTTCAGTTGGGAAATTGTTGGAAGATTTAGGAAAATCGTTGGAGTATTCAGCTTGATTGTGTGAATTGTCATCCCTAACATTGTCTGTAGGTACATTGTCTTGGTCAGTAGGTTGTGTATTGTCTGTTGTCTCCGGTAATTTGTTTTGCGTGATCTCTTTTGAATTTTTGTCAGAATCGTTTTGATTGGTTGTTTTGGCCTTGGGCCTATGTTTTATGGTCCCGACGTGGTCGCTCTCTGAAGACAGCGACCCATCCATCCCTTCCCTAGATTCACTATGAACCTCATTAGAAAAATATCCACTTTCGGGTCTAGACCGTTTATCATTGTACAGGGCAGTTGCACCTTCAATTTTTGACTCTGTTGGTGAAATGTCTTTCCACGTTGTGAGTCGACCTTGGGATTTCACATTATTATGGCTTTTATCCAATTTGGAATTCAAAGCTTCCATTATCACTGTACCCTTTGATAAATCTGTGATCTCACTAATTTTATATTTGTCTGCTAGCTTTAGCTTATCCAACTGCCCTGTATCTAAGTCTGAATTGTGATGGAGTTTGCCTTTCCCTGCTTTCCCACGTTTCGGGCTGATTGCTTCAAAGGATGACGATGAGGATGAAGTGGTGGATGATTTTTTCGGGCTGGTGGAAAGGTTGCAATTTTTTGCTCCAGAGGCTAATTTTCTAGTTGGTCGCGGGCTTTTTGATATAGAGTTTTGCTTCTTGGGGCCAGTTTTTGCCACGTTGACGTTGCGGGTTCCCAGTTCGTGGAACCCTTCACTGTTGAGCTTGACTGGGCTCCTGCTGTTCCCTTTACCTCTGCCGTCTGTCATGTTGTTGGTTCCCAGTTTCCCCACGGTTCCCACATCTTTTGATGGCGACGAGGGGGGAGAAGAACTTTCTGACTTGGGAGAGACATCTTTCCAGCCATTCGCTTCACCTGAAAGATACAAAAGCATTGAGAATTGTGTTATTCTTTATAATGGTGATGCTTTAAAATGTTTTTTTAATTGATCACTAATGCATTTACTCTGTATTGTATTATAATCAACACCAATGTTACATTTAAGTGGAACCTTTTTATCTAAATCATCACTATAGTAATGTATAACAACCCAGCATTACACCTAGGCCAACCTTTTGTATCCTGTGATGTAGCATTGACTACCCTACAGTATACCTAACCAACCTTGTGTTCCCTATTTTATATGTCTAAATCTATGACAACCCTATTGTGTCTAAATCTATGACAACCCTATGGTGTCTAAATCTATGACAACCCTATAGTATGTCTAAATCTTTGACAACCCTATGGTATGTCTAAATCTTTGACAACCCTATGGTATGTCTAAATCTGTGACAACCCTATGGTATGTCTAAATCTATGACAATCATATGGTATGTCTAAATCTATGCTAACCCTATGGTATGTCTAAACCTATGACAACCATATGGTAAGTCTAAGCTGACTAACTAATCTTGCATAAAAAAAGCCCTGATGTATGTAAACCAGAGAGACTAAATAGAACAAAACAAAACAGCTGAATGTAAACCATGACCCACCTCTATGTACAGTTCCCTTAAATAGAACAAAACAAAACAGCTGAATGTAAAACCATGACCCACCTCTATGTACAGTTCCCTTAAATAGAACAAAACAAAACAGCTGAATGTAAACATGACCCACCTCTATGAACAGTTCCCTTCCTCTGACCCAGCGCCCCTGTCCCCATCTTGATGACGGGTCCAGGCTCCATGACCAGCGTGCTGGGGTGGGTCAGCGTGGGCTTGGGGTTGTTGTCCACACTGCTGTCAGTCTCGGAGATCACAGAGTCCCCGGTGCTAGTCTGGTCATTGTCCAGGCTGTATGGTTTAGTTCTTACAGGAATGGTTGAGGTGCCTTGCCAAGTCTGGGAGGGAATCATTTGTGGATCATTCAAAGTAATTATTTATAGCTGGTTAAGTGGGTTTAGAAATCATTCAAGGTAATCATTTGTGGATCATTAGTGTGTTTAGAAATCATTCAAGGTAATCATTTGTGGTTGGTTACTTATTTTTACAAATCATTCAAGGTAATCATTGGTGGCTGGTTACTTGGATTTACAAATTATTCAAGGTAATCATTTATAGCCTGTTAATAGGGCTGGTAAGTAGATCACCAATCAGTTCTACGGCTCAATAAAACCTGCATGAGCCATAGAACTGGTTGGTGACCTACTTACCAGCCCTATTGGGTTTAGAAATCATTCATTAACTGAACAAAGGTTTAAGCAATTTTGTTCTTGAAGATGGCATTGAAATTTACTTTTAGCAAATTACATTAGTTTAAAATTATTTTTTTTAATTTACTGACTACAGGTTTAATTAATAGCAATATTATACTTAGGAATGGCCTTGATAAGTCTAAAAAGTAATGATTTATAGCTAATTACTTTGGTCTAGAAATCATTAATAAAATTAACTAACAATAAAAGACTGTTTACTCAGATTAGTTTCAGGTTATTTATGTAAAACAAAGATATCCTATAGACATATTAGTGTTGACTGATATGTATCCTCCAGTGCCTGTTGTGCAGGTGAATTTGGCACTGGTTAAGTTCAGTTCTCAGCTTCACATGATCTTGTTTTATAGCCATGACAACATTCTCTGCCAGTGCTACTCAGTTCTCTGTGTTATGCTGTAGACTGGTGCTGATTTTATCATTATATTTGTTCTATCAAAGAACTGATCACTCCCCCACAACTCTCTCTGCTAAGTTTGGCACTCTTTTTCTTGTACAGAAATACCTGGCTCAAGCCAGGCAGATAGCAACAATGTGAAGCAATGAGCTTCTCTCTCAATCATGTTACCAAACGTTAGAACCATAGGTTCCTGCTTGGTTTAAGCTTAACCCTTGTGCACACTAATTGTGTTGGATATGAGGGGCAGTTGGGTCATTGGATGACCTACAGTCTCAAGCCTGGTACTGAACTTGTGACTTTTGGGTTACCAAAATTATATTGAAGCTAGACCATGATGTCCCACAAGTTTGATGCTAGTGGTTTTCAAACAAAATTTCCAGTAAAAATGAAAAATTCCTGTGACAACTGTTTATAACTGTGACAAATACTCATCAACATTCAATTACTTCATTAAAAGGTTGCTGGTTATTATTTGTCTTCAAAAGATATTTACTATTAAATAAGTGTAGCATTAGTAGTTTATATCATTATATGTTTTACAGTCATTTACTATGTTATAATTCTGTGACATATGCATACTCCCATGTCAAACATCTCCTTCCTATCCTTATAGAATGTTCTTGTTATAAACATGTTTGCTCTTCTTCTAAAAATGTTTACTAATCTAACAGTTCTTTCTCTTTAGTTCAGCACAAGTGCTTCCCATCTTGAGCTTCAATAAATTCTTGATACAAGACTAGGACCCTTGTCAAAGATTCTTTGTATCCCACTTAACTTTCTTAGTGTGTTATTACTGCTTTTAAGATATATTAATGCGGTTAAAAATATTTATCAACAACAAAGTTCTTTCGCTAAAGTTCAGCACTAGCTATGTCCACCTTGAGATTTTGGTGATAAATACGTCACTGATTTAAGTATAGAACAATTTCAAACATCCTGTGCAGTCTTTTTTTTTACATCATTGTATGGTATTAAAGGTGATGGTTTTCAAGGAAGAAATTTGTTAACTACTGTTTATTCTTTTAGGTTTGGCATCAGTTTAAAAAACAATGTCAGTTTTGAATGTGTTAATCATTCTGTGTCAACCACTTCTGCCTCTTTGTGCAATATAAACTTGTGATGGTTTTAAAGTAATTTATTTCCTATCACTTTTCTCTCTCTTAAGTTTGTTATCAGTTTGACAAACCCAGTGATGTCAGTGTAGAACAATGTCGAACATTCTGTGCCATCTTCTTCTCTTGTGTATGTTGTTATAAAATGGTGATGGTTTTAAAGAAAAAACAAAGTTGCTATCTATCACTTTTCTCTTTCTTAAGTTTGGCATCACCTGTGATGTCAGTCTGGTACTTTGTCAAACAATATGGGACATTCAATTCTTCCTCTTTGTGTGCTTTCATAAAATGGTGATGGTTTTAAAGAAAAAAAATGGCTATCTATCACTCCTTTCTTTTAAGTTTGGCATCACCTGTGATGTCAGTCTAGAACCGTGTCAAACAATTTGCGACATTCAATTCCTCCTCTTTGTGTGCTTTCATAAAATGGTGATGGTTTTAAAGAAAAAAAAAGTTGCTATCTATCACTTTTCTCTCTTAAGTTTGGCATCAGTAAAAAAAAAAACTCTCTGATCCCAGTCTAGCCAGCCATCCAGCTCTTCCTTTGTGTGTTGTTGTTTATCAATTCACTTCTCAGCTTTATCTTGTGTACAAGAGAAAACCAGCAGGAGCAGTGTGATAAGGGACAATACCCGTCTCTGTCTAGCACTCTTTTTTTTTGGAGATTCTTTTTGTACTGGACACAACAATAGGGCATTGATACCCACAGGTGCGTGTGTTATTTTTTACACCCTAAACAATTGAATTGTTATTCAGGCAATATGCAAAATGTGGGTTAAAATATGTTATTTTATTCACAGAAAAGATTATGTAATAGTCATTATTAGCTGTGTTAATTGAAAGTGTTTTAAATTAACTTTCAAGGCAATTTAATTCCTGTGGTCATAATGGTCAGCATTGTGACCAAAGTTTACAATTGCTAAAAATTTACTGCTGGGTACCCATTAGTGCTGGACAGGCTCAAGGGATATCAAGTTGGAGATCCCAAAGCCTGGCCTTAGCTGGAAATCCAATAAGTTATCCATTTTATCTTACCTTACACATCAGAAACATAATAATTAAAGATTAACTTCAAACCTGATGTTAAAGCACCAAGCACTTCAAACACATTTTTACAGGAAAAGGATGTAACAGGAAATAAATTAACTAATAAATAAATTGAATTCAATTTTAACAATTTGAATTGTCAAATACTTGAAAATAAAATTTGTTAAAAAATCAGATTAATAATATATGAAAGAAACAAATAAAACATTTACCAGAGTAGAATTGTTAGAGTGAATAGGAAGGGTGGCTACAGTGGCTGTTGCTATGTTTTCATTTCCATCCATTCTAAGCCCCAAGCAAAATCCTCTACCAGGTGAAGGCATGCTTACACTCTTCTCACTGCATAATGAGTCGTCCAAACTGTGCGCAAGGAAAAACAACACAGTTTGTTTACGTCAAAAACTGAACAAAAAATGGTTCTTGAAAAAACATTGGTACTTTCCAAATAGCAGCAGCTACATAGCAATTGTTTGGATTAAGATTAAGACATGGGTTAGGAACAGCGTCATTAAGGATAAAACAAAAGTTAGGGTAAACTATTAAAATAAAAGGGTTAGGGTAAACTGTTACGGTTATGACAAGAGTTACACTGTTACGGTTAAGAATAAACTTTGTATATGTAAGGCTTAAGGATAAACTTGATGTATGAATGATTTAAGGATAAGCTTGGTATGTAGATGCTGCTCAAGACAAAATACCAGAATAAGTTAACAGCAATTGATGTAGTCCATGTAGGAGATAGTTTTAAAATGATGGGATCCCAGAAAAATGTGCAGAGAAATGTGCAAACAGAAAAAATATGCAAATACAAACTAACTATAATAATTTTTTTCACATTTAATGGAAAAGCTTTTTTTATTGTGCTGCAATGTACATGTGATAATTCTTTGTTAATGTCTATAAATGCTCAATTTAAGAAAACAAAAATGCACTTGCACACTTTTTTGTGTGCAGTTTCCTGTTGCACATCTTTCCAGTCACCAAAATGATGATTCCCTCTCTAGTTTGTAATGCATCTGACCATTAACTTAAAACAAGGTTATAACTCAAGGCTACAACAATGATGAACTTTTACATTTATAGGATTGAAACACTTGAATAATAAAAAAAACTCTTAATTTGAAATATTTTTATCAAGGGTGTAATTCAGATGCAAACAAGAGATTTTAATTTCACCCTTGCATCAATGTTAGAGCTATAATAAACATAAAAATATTCCAATGGAATATATTTATGTTTATTATAGGTATAATAATAGAATTTCCATTGATTCCTATGAATAAAAAGAAAATTACTTAATATTTAAACAAAATATTGCGGTGTAAAAAAAAAATGTCCATAATTGACCGCAGATAAAAATAAAAATCTAAAATAAAAATGTATGTACAGCTGATGTGTTGCATGTTTCTTATGTATATCTCTCAGAGTTTACACTCATCTAAGCTATGACCAGCTCCCTACTTTCACCCCCCTATTTCATTTGCTATGCCGATCCATCACAGGTTGCAGAAGAGGGTAAACAAACTTTTTGATTTGTTAAAATGGTACCAACTTATTACAAAAACTGTAATATGGGTTTAGTATAGATGAGCAATGGAAGGAAAAACTTTTTAGGAAAAATATCAACGTTGGATTGCTTTGTCTTAAAAAAGCCAACGCTAAACTGATAATGATAATATATGTGATTCCTTTTGCCATAGGAGACAATGGAATTGCACCAAGGGAAGTCAAACATTAGTGGTGTTTGATAAGGACTAAAATTGATTCCATAAGAAAAAATTATGACTCAAAAATAATTATTACAAAAGTGTATATGAAGAATAGTAATCCGCAAGAAAAAGAAGGAAAAAAGTCTTAAAATTATAATATTAACTACTTGGCCCTAATAGTATGCGGTGCTGATAAAAGATAGAGGATAATTTAATATCTAAAAACCAAACTGCTGTTTACATTACAGATGTGTGAGATAATTTAGCTGGGTAATAAAACTCCAACAGCTGTGATAGCTGATAGACATGTTATTGTAAACTAGATGCTAGATGGCTGTTGTCCAGGGGAAACTACTCCCATGTATTTTTAAATATTTGTTGTAATTAGGTCATTACAAGTTGAACAAGAAAAGCTATAGTGCACCATCTGACTGGTTTCAGATATCATACACTGAAATACAAGTGTATAAAAAACAGCATGATACTATGCATTTTTAATAAGTTAAGCTAGGGGTATTTACAATAATTTGTTGCAAATATAGCAACACACTGGTGCATGGTGGGTCAGTAACTATTTAAGTCAAGAGCCATTTTAAAACCAGTAACTATTTAAGTCAAGAGCCATTTTAAAATAATTTTTCAACAAAAATATTTAGAGAGCAGAGACAAAAGTTGTACCTCTCCCCTCACATCATGAGAAAAGTAAGAATCCCCCCCCCCCCTTCCCCCGAGCAGTCTAATGTCATGTAATGCTATTTAATGACAACCCATCAGGCATTTTTCAGATAGTTTTGTAGGTTATTAGTGGCTTAAGCTATTCCTCATTATCCAGGCAGGCTAGCACAGGGTTGAGATTCAAGCATTGATTTCTCTCACTCATGGTACCAGCTGTTAAAAACTGGAATTTTAGCCAGGTTTTTGATGCCTTCCCTAGTGTATCTGACCACTTGGTTTAGAGGAATTTTAGCCAGGTTTTTGATGCCTTCCCTAGTGTATCTGACCACTTGGTTTAGAGGAATTTTAGCCAGGTTTTTGATGCCTTCCCTAGTGTATCTGACCACTTGGTTTAGAGGAATTTTAGCCAGGTTTTTGATGCCTTCCCTAGTGTATCTGACCACTTGGTTTAGAGGAATTTTAGCCAGGTTTTTTATGCCTTTTCTAGTGTATCTGACCACTTGGTTTAGAGGAATTTTAGCCAGGTTTTTGATGCCTTCCCTAGTGTATCTGACCACTTGGTTTAGAGGAATTTTAGCCAGGTTTTTGATGCCTTCCCTAGTGTATCTGACCACAAGAGGAATTTTAGCCAGGTGTTTCATTCCTTCCCTAGTGTATCTTACCACCTAGTTTGAAGGAATTTTAGCCAGGTTTTTTATTCCTTCCCTAGTGTACCTTACCACCTAGTTTGAAGGAATTTTAGCCAGGTTTTTTATGCCTTCCCTAGTGTACCTTACCACCTAGTTTGAAGGAATTTTAGCCAGGTTTTTTTTTATTTCTTTCCCTAGTGTATCTTACCACCTGGTTCGGACATGAGGGGAAGTTAGGTCACAGGTCAACCTACTGTCTCAAACCCAGGATCCAAACTCACTTTTTGGTTAGCAAGTGCACTGTTGATCTATCCCTATCTCTAATTCTTACTGACCTGACGTATCTGCTGTTATATGTTAATCTAAATTCTCATTAACTAAACAGTAGCAACAATGATTAGAGTTAAGTACTGGTTATCACTTCTGTAAATTCAAAGCACTACACTGCATTAATTAGGTCACTGCCTCTAGTCCTACAGGTGGGTGATGAAGGATTAATTACAACGTACAGTGGGCCAATGTGCTGAAGTATAAAATTAATGCTACTTGTGGCTAAGCTGATAAGTTATCAGCCCCACATCACTCAGTACAGAGGTACACAACTTTTTGTTTACCTTTACCCCATAATCAAATCTTATGATATCTTATTGTTGATCCTGAATGTACTGCTAACTTCGATGAAATTTTATCAGTGGTCCAATTTTGGAGGTACATTACAGCTTAATTAAAACTAACAATAATTTAGCTGTAATTCTATCAGTATGGGCCGGCGTGGCCTATTCGGTAGAGCACTAGGCTGCTAACTCAAAAGTAAAGTTTGAATCCAGGCTTAAGTCAGTATAATGTCCCTGAGTCAACCCAGCTCTGATGGGTACCTAACTCATGTTAGGGCAAGTAAAGGTGGCTGGGCAAAGTGTTGACCACACCTTCCCTTCATATGATGAGGTTAAGAAATATCTGAACTCTATGTCATCTGCCCTATGGATCGCTAGATCTAAAGAGATTTTTTACTACCTTTAATTCTATCAGCAGTCCAAATTTAGGGGTTTATAACGACTTTTAAGTGCCATAACTATAGACCTTCTTAAAACCAACACTAATCTAGTTGAAATTTTGGATACATTAAAGCTTAAAGTTTAAAGTGCCATAACTATAGGCCTTCTTAAACAAACACTAATCAAGTCCTAATTTTATCAGCAGTCCAATTTTGGGGGTACATTACAGCTGAGTTTAAAGTACCATCACTATAATCTAGGTCTTATGACATTAACCTACCCCAAGTGGAGCAAAAAGATACATTTCACTTATGTGCCTGCTATCTCCTAAACCAAATACTTTTTTATTTGCTAAAGCTAAGAGATTATGACCAGTACATCAAATGAGTGATACTGGAATTATAGCATACATATGAATTGCAGATGTTAGGCTAATTATTATAAGTAGAAGGATAATTATTGCAATCAGCTGATAAGCTAGTTACAAGTTCCTATGATAGAAAGTTACATTACTAAAACAATTTATTAATTAACCTATTAGTATAGTTATATGATTAACATATTTCTTTGAACGTAACCTACATATTAATCAACCTGCAAAAAACAGAAACTGCCACTATTCAGTCAATAAAAATTGTTGTAGCTTAATAAAAATTAAATTATGATTTAATTTTATTAATTAGCCATCAAGATCTACCCCAAGGAATATCTCTGTGATGATGTACTACATATTTAAAGAGGAAAAATTATGAGAAATATTTGAGTGTCGCTATGCTTACTTTTTTAGTCACAATAATGATGTCTGCAGAAAAAGGTCAAGCATCATCTGTTAAATCATCATTGATACTTGTATAATTATTTAATTGGGTGTGTGATGTTTGTTGTATATTGGTTATTTGCAATATATTAGTCCTCTTAGTATTTTTTAGCAGAAGATAAATTGAAAATTACAAGTTAAAAATATAAAATTATTCTGCATACAATGAAATGTAATATTCAAAGAAAATGTAATGCTAATTAATTTACATTTCCGTCAATAACAAAATAATATAAAATAAAGAAAGAGTAATCAGAATAATTTGGACAAGGTAACATATATTGCCTACTCGTATAGTATGATACTTAAACCAGACAAAAATACAGTAGACTACAGTTGTGTTGAGCTATGTTGTAGGTTGTGTACAGTAAACAACAGGGGAACAAGCAACACAGCTTTACTATTGAGTTTTAGCAGAGCAGACATTTAATAACTAACACCTTTACAAGGCAGACTATCAAATTACTTTGATAATTGAACTTGATATCAAGTTATTATTAAAGGTAGGCCTAGACAATTGTATTTTTTTTGTTTAAATCTTCTTAAACAATGATAAACTTAGAACTGTGCAACCTTTATGTCATTCTTCTTAGAATGATAGTACATTGTGGCAGTGGCGTAGCGAGGTCGGATGTCACCCGGTGCGGTACTTAATGGTGTCACCACCCCCCCCCCCCCCCCCGAGGCGTAGCGACCCTTCCCGGGGACAAACTTTCTAATTTTCAATTTGCACCCCTCCTCAAGTTTTTCTCTATATATTTTACTATTTTTTGCCTTTGTGTCACCCCCCCCCCCCTAAATGGTGTCACCCGGTGCGGTCCGCACCCCCCGCCCCCCTCCCCCTTGCTACGCCTCTGCATTGTGGGGGTAGAGGTTTGTGTTCATTAATTCTAGTATCTAGATGTAGTGGTAAATGAACTTGATCTAGCCAAGTAACGCCTACAATAGTCAATAAGTATTATTTAGTACAAGATCTTATGTAGTGTAGTAAATCGACATGTAGTCTAGATCTAGATTCTAATAAGTATTGAAGATCACAGATTAGTAGATCAAGATTTAGAATTTTAGATATAGGCCTAGGCCTATGTTATTTAATTGAGTAGTTACTAGTGTAATACTAAATAAAATACTAATACTAAGAACTTAAGAAATAGGCCCTAAGTAAAATTAGTAATTTATTAGGCCTACCTGTTAAGTAGTAGAGATCTAGGCTAAAATCCTAAAACAAAAACTACACTAGATCTAGATCTAGATAGGCCTTTCTTAGTTTTTATCCATTCCAAATCCATGATGATGATTGTTTCATTTTGTAACCAGTAGTGAGTGAAACACCCTAGGGCCCTAGATTCTAGATCTAGAGTAAAGTGCCATTAATAAACACCGATACACAAAAAATGCGACGTGTTCCCTATGAGGGCACCTCGTTTCATTAATAATTCACCTAGAAAAAAACCGAATGGACCCTAATACTCTTTATTTATAGGAGAATAATAATAGACTATTCATCCTTGTATTCATTCGCATTTTAGATTTTACTTTTCTACTTTTTGCATGTGTCTGTATTTCCCAATAGCGAACACCTTTTTTACATTTTTTCCGAATAGGGAACACCCGTTCCTCATAGGGAACATATTCATATTTTGCTCTTTAAAGCATAACTAGGTACACAATTTTACAGTTTAAAACATTTTTAATGTGTTGTTTTGTAATAGAATGACTAAAAACGTTTTATTTTAGCTTTTATCTCTCAAATAATTCAAATTAAAATTACTCGATTTTGACGGTGTCCTTGACCCTGGGAAGAGTTTATTATAAGGAAATATAGTGTTCGCTATTTGGCCCAGGTAAAAAATAGTGAGCATCATAGTAAACACCCTATTTTTTTAATAAATGGGGAAGAAAACAACGCCAATTATGGAATGTATGTTGTCAGGCATGTTAATACTTTATAATTTCAGCAAGTTTATTGACCAAAACGCAACACAATTAAAAATATAGCCTTAAGACTGGGGTGGGGGTCGCTTATCCGGAATGGCATTTAACATGGCTGCTGCCATACCAAATTTTAATCAATTCATTATTCCCCTCTAGGGGCAATTGAATATAATGAAATTAATGCTGAAGAGTTCCAAAATGGACATACTACATGCCAGCACCACAGTTTCGTAAAAAAAAATCCAAATAACAGTGTAATAAATTTTTTAAGTGGGGGTGTTCCCTATGCGGGCGCGTTCCCTATTCGGCACGTTACTCTAGATCTAGATCTAGATCTAGATCTAGATTCTAGAATCTAGTTATTTACAAAAGAACATTCCTGTTCCTACCGGTGATGGATAGGCCTAATTTATTTATTTTATTAGCTCATGAATCTAGATCTAGAATCTAAAAATATACCTTTAGATATGACAAGCCATAAGTGAATAAATAGGGCCTACAAGAATAAAGTTTAGGCTTAACTAAGGTCAAAACACTGGTGACAAAAGAGCATTTTTGGGCAGTGCGACATAATAATAATATTGGAACGATGTGGCTGTGTTGCCAAATTGGTATGCAAATGAGTCAACAAAATTCCCCATTTGACGCATCAATTTTTACGCAAAATGATTAGAAATATTGAAATCTACTCACCTTTTTTAGCTTGTTAAATGCGTTACTTTACTTTTGACTACATATTCGCTGTTCATAATTCACTAATAAGATAAAAGCACTAAAATACTGCTAGGTTCCAGAAAAGCTCGTTCTCCATCTTTACGAGCGCCATATTGGAACCATATTATGATAATGAACTACTCACCTACAATGGTTCCAGAGCGAGGCTGACTGCCTGTATTTTTATTTGTATCTATTTTCTTTTTTTTTCCCCTCGATGTTCTGCCTGCTCGCATCTGGCTCAGCGAGTGAGTGACGAGATGGTATCGATCGATTGTCGTTTTCGTGTTTCAGTACTGCATGTTGTTAAGGGAGGTTTAAAGGGAAAAATGAAGGAGACCCAAAAAAATTGTCATTTTTTTTTTATTGCGTTTCTAGCTAGGAAAATATACTATTAAATCGATCCCAAGTATTTCAGAACATTTAATGTCCTCTAAGTATTTTAAAAATATTTTTATTTGATAGTGGTGTATTACAGGAAAATAACCAAAAGCTGAAAAAATCCCTTTTTATGTCAATTTTGGTCATAGCAACAGCCATTTTGTATTGTGCGAAACCTCGACCATGTGGTATCAAATTAAACCCCATCCAAATCTGCACCTAACTGACCTACTAGTGAACATGTCTAAAAATAAATCATTTCAACAAAGAGGCTGAAAGAATGTCAATATTTTGAAATCCTCCGTTTTGATTGGTCGAAGTCTAATTTTAGTAACATTTTACCCACGATGCATTGGGTTTTCAAAATGGCGATCGTTTACACATGAGATTTAGCAGTTGTCACGATACATTCGATTCAGCACTACCTCTCATATTTTGAGTATTTCTACGCCTATTTTATCAAATTTGAGACATAACTAACATTATTGAAGGTACGTAAAGCTTTTTATTATTTTTTTAACTTTAATTTCAACCAGACTCATTTATTCAGTAATTTAGTTAGATCTAGATCTTGAATCGAGATCTGATCTATTCTAGATTTTCTAGATTCTAAAACTAAAAGAAATCATGTTATTGTATGCTATGATGACATTGTCAGATAAACAGATCTTAGATATAAATCTAGAATAGATCTAAATCTAGATTCTAGATAACTATAAACTATAAAATCTAGAATCTTAGATTTAGTCTACTCTAGCTAGATCTAGATCTACAACTGACTCGATTCTCCTACTTTACTTACTACAAGATTTAGCTTTGTTTTAATTTATTTTAATGTATCAGTATCAATTATTTAAAATTTCAGATGCCTAAAAAGAACACTACTTCAAACATGAGGACCAAAATAGCTAACATGAATGCTGCTAGGCTAAAGAAAATGGAGGGGTCACCAAACATCCCTGCCTCTAGTGTGGCTCCACTTTCACCAGTCACTCCAAACGTTTCGTCAACACCACCCACATCAAACATGTCGGCATCACGGCGCAAACTTGCGTATTTTGCTGATGTGAAGGCACCCACTGTACAGTCAACTCTGCCCACAACTATAGTTGACTTGAATTGCCTTCAAGGTCTACTTCAAGGTGTTGTGTGCTCAGACTGTGGCAGCAGTGACCTCAAACTGCAATGCGATGCAGATCGTATTCAAGGACTGGCAGTACCAGTAAAACTTTACTGTGGACATTGTCAAAGTATTAGGTCACAAGCCTACACCTCAAAGAAGTGTTCAGCCAAAGTATTTCAACATAACAGGGGCATTGTGTTTGCATCTTTGTATGCAGGCATAGGATATGCACACCTGGCTAAATTTTCCGAGGTTATGGGACTGGAAATGCTGACCTGCCAAGCATTCAATGACCACGTAAAACTGATAGAGAAGGCCATGTCTGTAGAGCTGAATTCAATTTTTGATGAGTCTGCAGAGAAAGTAAAAGCAGCATATTCTGAAAGTGAAAACCCACACAATATAGCTGTCAGTTACGACGGCACATGGGCCAAGCGAGGACACACCTCAAAGCTGGGTGTTGGTGTCGTCATAGATGTCAAGACAGGGCTTGCAATTGACTCACATGTTATGTCAACATATTGCCAGGTATGTATTATGAGTGAAAAGAATTATTTTTAAAATGTTGCTTGTATAATTATTGAGAAGATTCAATATTCTAAATTCATTTTATTCTATCAAATCAGCAATGTTCGACAGTTGGGGATAACTTGAAGAAATCTGACCCAGAGAAACATTTGACTTGGTACGAGGGACACAAGGCAAAGTGCTCCAGAAATTTTAGTGGTTCGTCTGGTGCCATGGAAGTGGAAGCTGCCAAGAAGATGTGGGGCAGATCAGAGGCTCGGCACCAGCTGAGATATACGACAATTGTGTCCGATGGGGACACAAAAACTTACTCGGCTCTGCTTGAGAGCAGACCATACAGGCACATGATTGAGAAGCAAGAGTGCATCAATCATGTGGCCAAGAGGCTGAATACAGCACTCCGCAACCTAGTCAATGCTGAAAACAAGAGAGGTGTTAGATTAGGAGGAGCTGGCCTTGGTAACCTGACACAGGTAATAACTTGGAAAGCCTAGTTGTATTTATTTTTTTAGAATTGCAAGATATTTTTTAAAAAAAACTTATGCATTTGTAATCAAAAGTTGTTTTTGTTTTCTTCTTAGACCAAAATGGGTCTTCTTCAGAGCTACTACACCAAGGCTGTCAGGACATACAATGGTTCAGTACAAGAGATGAGCGATGCCATTTGGGCTGCTTTTTTTCATTCAACTTCGACTGACAAAACACCTCAGCATCATAAGTGCCCAGGGGGCCAAGACTCCTGGTGTTTTTATCAGAGGTCGAAGGCTAAAGGTTTGTCTGTGCCTTCACACAAAGGTAGGCTGACAACCTACCTAAATGAAAAGGTTGCTCCATATGTGGAAGCAATCTACAGAAAATTAACAGAGCCAGCTCTGTTGAAGCGGTGCTTGCTGGGGAAGACGCAGAACACTAATGAGAGCCTTCATGGCATGATTTGGAGTCGCTGCCCTAAACATATTTTTAATGGTTTGTCTAGGGTTACGATAGGCACAGCTTTCGCCATTGGCGAATTCAACCAGGGTTCTGCTGCAACCCATAGATTTCAAACAGCAGTGGGTTGCAGCTTGTCTGAGAAAGGCGCCAGATTAGGCCAGCTACGTGACGAAAAAAGAGTCAGAAAAGCAGATTTGGCCATTGAGTCTAACAGCAAAAGGAGGAGGATAGCCAGGCAACTGGCACAAACAAAAGAAAATGAGTCCAGACAGGTGGAGGAGGGTGGGGCTTCTTATATTGCAGGGGGGTTTTTGACTTTTCATAAATTTTTTTTCCATCAATGTAATCTTTGTGAATTAATTTGTAAATGCCTATTATTATTATTTAACAGCTTTTTTGGATGTTCCCTTTTAACATAAATGTTTTAAAACAATGTTATAGCATCTTTCATTCAAAATATTTATTGTTCCTGAAAATTTATTTTTTGGGATTTTTACGTCTTTTATTTTCAAGGGTGTTATCGTTTAAAATTGTAAAATTTTACCATTATTAATTGTCTAAATTTACTTTTATTTATCTCTATTTATTGCCAGATGGTTGCCATTGATGAAAAATGTAACTTTTAACTTCTTGTTGAAGAGGAATTAAATACAATTTTATTCTGACTTCTTATTTTGCGTTTTTCTCTGTTTCGCATTTTTTAATATTTTTGAACACATATTGTTAGGTATCTTTTTTGTTTTTAGAGATAATGAATTGAGATTTGGCATGCATATTGCCATTATACTTTTCTATTATCCTATGAGGGCATTTTCATGTATCCCTTACAGATTTAGCAAAAAGTAAATTAGAATGTCCATTTTCTGAAAATATACAAGTTCATTTTTCATGACCCTCAAGGGTACTAGGCATCTTAAAAAGTTTTAGGTCTATTTAAAAATGCTCTCTCTACATCATCTAAAACATAATAAAGACCAACTGTACAAAATTTCATGATTGTGACTACAATACTTTTAAAGATACCTACATTTTAAAATATATGTAACTTATTACATAACAATTGTATCTACAGCAAAAAAAAAAAAAAAAAAAAATTTTAATGTTTTTTTTTCTCTTAACTATGCAAACAGAAGTTCCTAAACTAAAGAAAGTACAGTTTAATACATAATTTTAAAAAATAGAAATTATCCTGTAAACTCCCCTTAAACATTGGCTTAAAATAAAATAATGTACGTGTAAGTTGTAGTTATAAGAAAAGTTTTGGTACGATTTCGATGAGGATCAATGAATACATTCGAAATATTTTCGAAATAATGTCAGTATCATGATCATGAAATACGTTTAGAATAAAATGAATACGGTAAGGAAGAGAGGGCAATTGCGGAATCGATTATAAATATTTATAGAACAATATCGATTTCCTTTGTTATGGAAGGTCGAATTTTAACGTACATTATAGACACAACAAAATGACGCGATTCTGTTTGTCATTGTTAGTTTTTGGTACACAAAAAAGCTGGGCCTATTGCTATTTTTAGAGTGCCATCATTAACTAATAGTTGATGTTTTGAAATAGGACCACCGACTCAGTAGCGTAGCGAGGGGGAGGGGGGGGGGGGGGGGGGGGGGGGGGGGGGGGGGGCGGGGGGGGGGGGGGGGGACAATGTCCCCGGGCGCCGACCTTAGGGGGCGCCAAAATGGGTTGGAAAAATAAATTAAAAGGTTGATGGGGGTGCAAATCGAAAGTTCGAGGGGGGGAGTGCAAAACGAAACCTCGAAGGAGGTGCAAATCGAAAGTTTGTGGGGGTGGGGGTGCAAATCGAAATTTCGAGGGGGGGGGGCGCAAATCGAAAAGTTTGTCCCCGGGCGCCGGGAAGGGTCGCTACGCCTCTGCACCGACTACTACATTTAACTTACGACTTTTTAAAAAGTTTTGGTAAATGTAATAATAGGGCTATTAGACTATATTTAGCTTAACGTAAGGCGTTTTGGTATTGTTTTCCCATTGGCGAACACCGACGGGGGTGGGAAGGGGGGGAGGGATGACACCAAAATGAAAAATTGTAATGCTTGTGTCCAGTCACATAGCAACTTAGTAGGCATAAAGTAGTGGCGTCACTAGGTCGGGTGACACCCGGTGCAAACATCCTGGTTGTCACTCCCTATCAACGACTTTGTATATGGTATATTTAAACTATAGGCAGTCACTCCCCCTCCCTAATGGCGTCACCCTGTATCTAAGTATGTATATATCTTTAGTGAGTTATTACACTTACTAGAAATGCTGACTTTCTCATTAAATAAGATATATTTCATTGTAGTGTCACGCACCAGAGATGATTTCACCAGGGATGAGGGGAGGGGGTGGGGACATTCGCAATTTTTCGAACCTGGTGTTGCCCGACCTAGTGACGCCACTGATTCGCTATAATGCTTGTATTGAGAAAATAAATTTAAAAAGCGAGCCTCCTTAAATATTTAGCAAAAATTTTTTTTAAAAATACCTTGAGTTTACAAGAGATCATGTGATTTACATCTGAATATCCTACGGCACAGACCTCACAGACCGCTGATTTTACTTTTAAAACGAGCACTATGTAGGCGAATAGTATGGTAATGTGAGGTTTTTGTTTGTTAAGATTTAGGTCAGGGTTAAGACGGGGGTAATTATGGTAACAATCGGTGGTGGACTGGGCCATCCGGATACTGGGTAGAATCACTGTTGCTGCTATGAACGAAGCGGTTTTTTAATTGTATGTGTTAAGCTAAATGAACCAGTGGCGTAGCGAGATCGGGTGTCACCCGGTGCAGCACTTAATGGTGTCACCCTCCCAGAAGCCTGGCGACCCTTCCCGGCGCCTGGGGACAAACTAACTTTCAATTTGGTGCGCTCTCTGGATCAACTTTTCAATTTGCACCCCCCCCCTCAAACTTTTGATTTGCACCCCCCCCCCCTCAACTCTCGATTTGCACCACCACCACCACCCCCCCCCTCAAACACTCGATTTGCACCCCCTCTCCACCCTTGTCAGGATTTGTCAAATTTGCTCTTAAAACACTATTTCACACTCGAATTGATCACTTAAATAAGTGGAATTATCAATTTTCTCTATATATTTTGCTATTTTTTGCCTTTGTGTCACCTCCCCTAAATGGTGTCACCCGGTGCGGTCCGCAAAACCCCCCCCCCCCCCCCCCCCCGCTACGCCACTGAAATGAACAACATATTAGGGAGGTCTGACTTCGGGGATGATTAAGGTAGGGGCTATAATTTGGTGAAAGTTTTATTTTAACGAGCCCAATTAACCCTGATCATCAAGCTAACAGGGATGCCTGTGGG